CTGTGAGTTAGTCACAAAAACACCAGGCATCATTTCTTTACAGCGTTGATGAACCAAGTATGGAGAACTATGGATTATAATATTTTAATTTGATTATCTTGAGCTGTTTTATCTTATTTTACTTTGTTTAGGCTTAATTTATCCCAGTTTGCTAATCCTGTCTTACCTGGTTTATTTTTCTTATTTTAGCTCCTATAAACTTTGTTTATGTATATTAAACAAACCTTGACTTATTTTAGTTTATTCTAGCTTAACTGTGCTTAGTTTAGTTAATCTGAGTTTTTTAGCTACCCTAAGATTAACTATGCTTTTTTAAGCTTTGGCTCTAAAATCTTAATATTTCTTAATTTAGCCTATTTTACTTTAGTTTTTTGTCTTATATCTTTTTGTATCTTAGATAATTTCTCTTTTTTTTAATCTTACTTTATTTTTGGTAATCTTAGTTTGTCTTGTGTTTAATTTGCTGTATATTTTTACATTCTGTTAGTTAATTTTGCAGTTTATTTTATCTTTTTGTGTCTTTTTATGTTTGGAGTTAATATCATTACATCATATTATCTAATTTAGTAGCTCTGCGTGGCTAATCTTTACCTTAACTTGGCTTATTTTTGCTTATCTTGTATCTTTTATATCTAGGTTCATTTTTGAATATCTTTTCTTGGTTAATTTTATATCTTTGTGTTTTTTTAGCTTATTGTTTATCTTATCTTGCCTGGTTTAATCAGGGCTTTCAGTTATTTGCCTGTTTGGCCGGGTTTTATTTATTTTCTGTCCCAGTCCTGCTTTATCTCACTGATTTCCTGCTGATTTATGAGAAATTTGATGTTGCCAGGTTTTTATTAACACATGATTCAGTCACTGAAGGGAAACTTTTCTAGTTGTTTAATCAACGAAAAACTTTTTTTACCTTTTATTCCATAACTGTGACTCAGAATCCATCAGTCAGCAGAGGAACTGGAAAAAATTGAGAAAATTAACTGCTTCTGTGCCTGTTTTCAGTTCTGATTGCTTAATTTTTATCATTTAGCACCATAAATTTGCAGGTTAGATTCCCGTGTGGTCGGACGCAGGTGAGCCGAACCTGAGTTTGCTGCTTTGTGCGGTTTCTGCAGAAACAGGTGCAGGACTTTCAGTTTTTATTCCTATAATCAGGAGGTGCTACATGAGCATCCTGTCACTTCGGCTCTGATCCTCCATCTGCGATCTGACTCACTCTCTCTCTCACACACACACACGCGCACACACACACACACAGACACACGCACGCGTGCGCCATGATTTCAAATGTCAACATTCAGAAACCTGTCAGCCCTCCAAGCGCCAACAAACCGTCCAGAGTCTGTTTCTATCAGCTGCTGTGGCGTTCAGGTGCGCCGTCGGTTCAGTCAGGTGGGAAACCAGTCAGAGCCGCGACGCTTTTGAAGCTAATTACATGCAGCGCAAATTACATGTTTAGCTGCATAATCTTTTTATGGAAACTGGAGCTGCTTTTGTCTGTGATGTCATGATTTTGGATGGAAATTGTGTCATCAAATATAATGGAGAATAAGATGAAAAAGTATCAGTTTAGATTAGGACTGAAGCGATTAATTGTTATTAATCGGTTATTGAAATAATCATTAACTGATTTAGTAATCAATTAATCGTTGGCTTTTCAGACTAAAAAACTACCATCTGCTGAAAGAACAACACATTCAGGGCAGTAATTAGGCCAAAACTGTACAGAAAATAGACACATTTTGCATTTAAGATGAATAAAAAAACCTTTTATCTGTAAATCTATTCAACCCAGAAATCCTCAAACTACAGTTTTAGCTTCACCTGGTTCAATTTCCTTAAAAAAACAAAAACAAACTATATTTAATTATTAATTAGTTAATCCAAAAAATATTGTTGATACTGATATCAACAATATATTTGATATTTTCTGCTGGACTGTTGATGTTCAGTCAAGCAGAAAGTTTTGACATGTTAGAAGTATTTTTTAGCTACAGATGCTACAAATGATCAATAGTTCACTAAAAGGAATGCTGTTTTGACACAATTTAGGCAATAAAATGTTCATTTTTTTGTTTGAAAAGGAATTAAATTATTGATATGTATTTTTCAATATATAAAATAAGCTTAATTGGTTAAATGAAAAATCTCCACAATATTCTAATTTCTTTTATCCGATTGTCAGAATAGTTGATAGATTGATCTATCTGAAGCTCTTCAGAGGGCAACTACTAAAGGTAATCCATTATGCAAATTTCACATTTTACATGTTTTTATTCCTCCATTTTGGTTTTCTTTTTGGTGTCTGGAAACTGAGCCATTTCAAAAACTTCATGATTGTTGAGTCACAGACCAACAACCAAGCAACCTCAGCAGAGCTCTAGCATGTTTGGTCAGTTTGTTTTACCGTTGTATGCTCTGTACAATGGCTGCTGGAAAAGACAAGAGTTTTGTTGTTGGCTTTCCATCCAGAAACCACTGGCTGCTTTTCTGTTGGTTGTGCAGGAGGGGCCACTTCTGCTTTTCAAAGATGTATTGTTGTGTAATTGTGCATCTGTTTGCAGCCATTTTCTCATGGAGTTGAGTTGGGGGGCGTGGCTAAAAGCAGCTTATTTGGACTTAAAGTGACAGAGCTCATTCTGAAAATAGACTAAAGTCTCCACTATCAAAGAATGATTTTATGCAAAAAGTGTATTGAACATGATTTGTATAGGCCATAGATGCATCCTAACCTGTTCAAGGAAGCATTATCGGTCACTTTTAACAGTGGATTTGAGTTTTAATCTAATTTAACCAGAGAAACTGGAGATTTCTGCTGCACAGCTTCCCGTTGGGGCACAAAAACTGCAAACAAAGAGACGAAGAGGTGCAAACTGGAAGGGAGAGGTGAGAACAGATCAAGTAAAGATAGAAGAAGTGAGACGGAGGGAGCAGAGAGGGAGGAGAGAGAGGGAGGAGAGAGAGGGAGGCGTTGTCTCAGGGAGAGAGAGAGGCAGCGCCGGCTCCGTCCTGCCGCCTCGCAGTTGATGCTTGGAGCATGTTGGCGCCACAGAAGCTGAGACGTTTTCGGGACTACAGGACCCAGAATCCTCTGGGGCAGCCGGCAGCCGGCAGGTCGCCCACCTGGGAGCTGCAGGTATGCAGAGGAAGGGGATGCCGGGTTTATTTACCTGTTTGGTTGGTGAGTTCAGGATCCTCAGCAGGAGGTTGTTCACCGTTTCTGGACTGCAGCAGGTTTCAGGGCGTCTCCATGACAACCGGGATTTCCTGCTGTTTGGATGACGAACAGGTGGGAAACCTGTGACTCGCATGAAACGGAGGGAGAAACATCTGATCGCTCCTGGATGTTTCTGCAGCTCCGGATGAAACCCTGCTGGGAATCCTCCAACGAGGAAAAACGAGTTTAGAAATCGATCAGTAATGGCTCAGCTGCTCAATCACCTTATTGATCGGATACAACCTGCTCTGACCTTGTTGTTTAAGTGTTGCATGCAGATTTCAACACATCGGAACCAGGCTAGGTGAAACCGGGCCGATTTTAATCAATGTTTATTTCCATCTTGTTGCTGTTCTTGTTCGGTCATGTGACAGTGATGCAGTGTTGGATTGTGGGTAATTTAACTGAGGTAGAGAAGCAACACGAACTGCGTTGTGTTGTCATGTTTTATGGTTTCAAAATGTTATATTTCTAATGAAGACCAAAACGATTAATCATGATTGACTATTGAAATAATCGACTACTTTAGTAATCGATTAACTTTAATTTTGTGGAGAAAACATAACATTGCAACTGGAAGATGTTTTAAATATCCAAAATAAAACAACCAAAAATAAGAAATAAAAATTAAATAAAAGCTGCAAGCAACCTAAACAGAAAATAAATTGGATTATGATGTCTCTGTAAACAACATAAATGTTAATTTATCATGGAATCAGGCTGGTCCGATGTTTAAACTGATATATAAAATACAAAATCAGTAAATATTGCTATAAAACAACAGTAAATGTATTGGTTTTGGTCTAAATTTTAAAATCGGTGCATCCGGCTGATGATGTTTACAGTCAAATCGTTGCACATTAATTTTAATGTGAAGCACTCAGCAGGCAGGACGAGGAAACACATAAAGGCATCGATGGAAATCCATCAACCTGAACTGGAAACAACAGGATCCTCTTTTGTGTACTTCTAATTTTAACCTGGAAATGGAGAAGAGAAGAAACTTAAAAATAAGTTTAATCTTAAAAGTTCTGGTCCGGATGAGGAAATAGTTTGTCTGCTGGTTGAACAAATTTACATTTTAAGTGAAAATAAACTTGATTGTTGTGTAGACTGAGCTGATTTAAACTGAATCAGATTAAAAATAAACACATCAGGATGACTTTGGTTGGAAAATAAGGAAATAATTTACATAATAATTTATTCCAGGCAGGCGGAGCAGCAGCCAATAAAATGATTTCACTCTAATTCAGTTTTCAGGCTTTGGGGGATTTATTTCACACCTACATATTTTACCAAGGAGGCTGTAGAAATAGAGTTGGGAGAAGAAAGGAATATTTAATATGCTATAAATGGAGGAAATGAGGGGAAAATGGAAAAATGAAGGACAGAAGTGGAGGAGTTGGTGAAAGTTTAAAGGAAGGAAAAAAGAAGGAAGAGATGCTTATTGTGGTAATTTCCTGCTTCCACCAGATGAAAATATGATATTTAAGATTAGAATATGACATCAGACCAATAACAATGTTTTAATCCATACATCTGTTTAAAGGTTTTTGTTTTCAAAATGTGAATTTATTCTAATTTACTGAATATGACCGTAGTAGAAAGAACTGAGGGAGGAAATGACGAGAGATGGGAGGAAGTGAAGAAAAAGGAAAATATGTCACAGAGTATTTTTAATCATTTTCCAGGAATGGAAAAATGTTTTTTTAAACTCTTCCTCCATCTGCTGAGTGAAACTCTAAAAATAAAGTTCAACATGATGACGATGGTGTTTGTGCTGCAGGATGACGTCCCCATCAAAGAGATCAGCATCACCCACCATGTGAAGGAGGGGTCGGAGAAGGCCGACCCGCGGCAGTTTGAGCTCCGGAAGGTTCTGGGTCAGGGTTCGTTTGGGAAGGTGAGTCGGTTCCGGTACCAGGCAGCGGCAGAGTCTCCATGTTTTCGTCTTTCTGAATGAACTCGCCTCCGGTCTGCAGGTGTTTCTGGTGAGGAAGGTCACAGGACCGGACGCAGGTCAGCTCTACGCCATGAAGGTCCTGAAGAAAGCCACGCTGAAAGGTAAACACACCTGGATGAGCCTCTTTCCTCCTGAAAACTCTGGAAATCTGTTGCTGTGGTTTGGATTCAGTCCAACAATCTGCTGCTTCCAGATCACAGGAACCAGAACGGTGCATATTTGTAAACAATAAAGAAAAATGTGCGTCCACAGAAACTGGTGCAGTGAGTCCACCGGGCCAGTCGGTGGCGCTGTAGCACAGTGAGAGAATGACAACAAGAACACAGAACTGTTGCCATATTGAGCATATGAGAGCCATTAGAGATAGAAAAAAAAGCTAATGAAATTTTTAGATTAATTTCAGAAATTTTCTAGAAAAGACAAAAAAAAAATTCTGATCTCCAAAAGTCACAAATTTTCTAGAGAAAAAAACCTCATACATTTTGAGATTAATCAGAAATGTTCTAGAAAAATTGGACATTTCTGAGTTTAAAAAGTTTAACATTTGTTTGAAAAACTGATATTTTGAGATTAAGAAGCTTTTTAGAAAAAATATGGAGACTTCTAAATTTTGAAAGTTGAAATTTTTCTTGGTGTCAAAAGAAAAAAAAAAGTTTTAAAACTTTGATACAAAAGATGGCTCCAAACCAGGAAGTAGACTGCAGCGCAGGGCATTCTGTTTTGGTTTTATGGGGTGTAAATACCGTCTGTAATCCGTATTTACATGGATTACAGACGTACAGAGTCACGGTGAGTCTGTTTTATTGAAGCTATAAAATCGTGTTTCTTCTTCTGTGGATTCTCGGACGTCATCTCCCAAAATGGAATTTCACACTTTCTCATGAGACGGACGAAAAAAGCAGGAGGGAGAAATAAACCCCAGAAAGGAGGCTGATCTCCAACCAAACACCATCTGCTGCTGCAGACGAGTCTGCTGCATCCTGATTCATCTTCATCGCCCTCCTCCTCTTCCTCTCCGGAGCTCAATCAAGCGGCGCTGCTGCACCTTTGGCTGCCGGCTTAATCTGGAGGTTTCTGTGTTTTCCAGTTCGCGACCGGGTCAGAACCAAGATGGAGAGGGACATCCTGGTGGAGGTCAACCACCCCTTCATCGTCAAGCTCCATTACGGTGAGTCGGCCAATCGGAGAGCTCCGTGATTCGCCGATCGGCCAATCAGAGAGCAGTTTGGGTCTCATCTGTGTCGTCTGCAGCGTTTCAGACGGAGGGGAAGCTTTACCTCATCCTGGACTTCCTGAGAGGAGGAGACCTGTTCACCCGCCTCTCCAAGGAGGTAAACGCTCAGCATGGCTAAAACTAAGTACACCCTCAGCAGGGAGACGCTGTCAGAAAAACTAAGTACACCCTCAGCAGGGAGACGCTGACAGAAAAACTAAGTACACCCACAGCAGGGAGACGCTGTCAGAAAAACTAAGTACACCCCGTGATCCAGCAGCTTGTAGAGCTGGTGTTTAAAAAATGAGATCTAATCCAGTCTTCAGCTTCAGTTCATTAAGTTCTGCACAGTGCTCTGAAGGCCTGGACTTTGACTAGACTAGAGGTCTAGTCAAAGTCAGGTCAGCCAAATGAAAGTGGTTTAAAGCTGCAAATGTCATAATTTTAGATAAACATCTATCGGAAATTTGTTGCCATTTTATTCTTATTTTTTTGTTTGCCAATTGCTGCTGGCTAGTCTGAAGGAGCTGGGTGGGGGAGGAGCTGCGTCTGCTCGATGTTTTTCAGGTTTTCAATGTTTCCTCAGAGGAGAACGAAGTTTCTCCAGGATCTGACCTCTGACCTCTGAGCCGTTTCTCTGCTGCAGGTCATGTTCACCGAGGAGGACGTGAAATTCTACCTGGCGGAGCTCGCTCTGGCGCTCGACCACCTTCACGGCCTCGGCATCATTTACAGAGACCTGAAGCCTGAAAAGTGGGTTCACACACACACACACACACACACACACACACACACACACACACACACACACACACACACCCCTACACTCAGCTTACTTAGGGAAATAAAAACCAAAACAAACTAATTTTCTGCAGAAAGCAGAAGCTGCGTTGGTTCAGTTTTATAGTCGCAACAATTGCAGTTTTTACAGATACACCGATTTTTGATTAAAATTTTAACTGCAAGATCTGTAATTAACTCATTAATTAATCACATTTTAATACTATATATTGACAACATATGTATAAACTTATGGCTTGTGTTTTAGGTTGCCAACATTATTAATTTAATAATTAAATAATTAAATTTAGAAATGTAATAAATTGTTAAACTGCTAAATCCTTAGAAATTGTTAGCAATTTAATATTATTGATAATACAGTTTTATGTTTCATAATGTAATAATTTAGCTATTTTTGTTTAAGTTGTAAAGTTAATTATACTTTGACAATGTGTTTCACTGCGTTATTTGAAAATGGTCTCAAATCAACAATATTATCCTTGATCACGACATTTACTGGGCCAATTTATCGTCTAGGAAAGTTTGTTATCATTACAGGCCTTGTTGTGTCTTTTTATTCAGTTTATTATGTAACCCTGGTTTTATAACCCTGCCATTATAAAGCGTCTCTGTGTTTCCAGCATCCTGCTGGACGAGGCCGGACACATCAAGCTGACAGGTTGGTGCCTCTCTTCTCGCTCCATCTTGTTCCCCTGCTGCTCATTTCAGCTGCTGCCGATCCTCTGCTGACGTTTCCTCTCGCCTCAGACTTCGGCCTGAGCAAAGAGTCAATAGACCACGAGAACAAGGCCTACTCTTTCTGCGGGACGGTGGAGTACATGGCGCCCGAGGTGGTGAACCGGCGGGGGCACACGCACAGCGCCGACTGGTGGTCGTACGGCGTACTCATGGTGAGGCGAGGCGGAGAAATAAAAGAGTAAAGATGTTGGACATCCAGTTCAGGTCTGGATCTAGGTCAGCTTTACAGTGTGATGGCTTTTAAACTCCAATCTGACTGATAATCTTTTATTAATTTGCAACATAAACGAAAGTTCAAGAGAACAAAGCAGCAGATTCTACGTCAATTTTTATTTAACCATATTAAAGAATCTGGGAAGGATTATAATGGATTTCTAAGCAACTTGAAGTTCAGAACAGAGAGAAATGTTACTTCAGGCAGATCTTCCTGTAAAAACCCCAAAGAGCTCCATTTCCCAGCTAGCAGGTCAAAGGTTAAAGTCAAATTGGTGATCAAGGGTTTCAAGGGAGGATATAAGTTGAAGTTAGCGGTTTAGCATTAGCCTCCACTAATCTGCTTTGTGACAGATTTGTTAACCCGATGTTTATCTACGGGGATGTAGAGATGAACTGTGATGTGAAAGCACAGAGAACCGTTGATTTTCTAAACCCTGAACTGAAGCAGAAGAATCTGATAACGACTCAAACTGCAACTTCCTGTCGGATATTCTTTGGTGCTTTTCCTCACTTTCAGTCTAAATCAGCAGAAAAGTAAAATAAAGTCACTTTTAAAGAAAGTGTAGGAGCTTGGAAGCCATTTTTAGTGGAAGAAGTGGGAGGATAATGAGTTTATCAGAGTTTATAAACACTGTGAAACCCATCAGATCTGACCAGGCTGCTGCTTTTGTTCTTTTTCTCAGTTTGAGATGCTGACGGGAACGCTGCCGTTCCAAGGCAAAGACCGGAAGGAGACGATGACAATGATCCTCAAGTAAGACACTTTATCCAGCCGCCGCGCTCCGATCCCATCGGCTTTAATTTCAGCGCAGAGACGGGGAGCAGGGCGGGAACTGGAGCTTTCTGACAGCAAAACCTGAAAAGTGGAAGTGAAAGAGCGAATGTGATCATGTGGAGCGTGTGAGAACGTCTTCGGAGAGGAAACGTTAACCTCCGCTGCTTCCTCCGGCTCCCTTTCACTGTCGTCTGCAGGAAAGCGCTGAGGCGGCGCTGCAGACTGCTGATGCTGCTTCCTGCGCAGCAGATTATCATCGCGCTCCGCTCTGGACACACAGTACGGACGTCCAGTTCTGTGGCTCACGCTGCTCTGTTTGTCCTGCTTCTGTTTCCTCTGCAGAGCCAAGCTGGGAATGCCGCAGTTCCTCAGCTCGGAAGCTCAGAGTCTCCTCAGGAACCTGTTCAAACGCAACCCAGCCAACAGACTGGGTAAGATGTTCAAGCATTCAGCATGCTGAGGGGAGCAGAACGTCACCTACATACCTGCAGCTTTATGGTTTAAACAGGGATTTACCGTCACATTTATGGCAGAAACTGCTGTCAACACCATTTATTTATTAAACAGAAAAGCTGTGTGCCACTAAATGATGCTCTGATTAGCTAATTATCATGAATCTGAGCCCATTGATGCTCCGTTTTAACACAACGCCAAGGTGGAAAGACAACAGCAGCGACCTTGGAGAAGCAACTGAAATCATCAGACAAATGACCAAAAACTAAACTTTATTTATCCAAAAGGAAATTAAATGTCGTCATAACTCTAAACATCCAACATCTGACTGAAGGCTGACAGCTTCTCCAACATGCTGCCACCACGACGCCTCAGTCAGAGGTTAAAGGTCATGAAAGGACACTGTTTGGACGGGTGGAAGGAGAAAGTTTGGTTTGCAGAATCTGAACATTGTCTTTGTAGAGCTGGTCAGCACGGTGGTGGAGGTGTAGTGATATGGGATTGTTTTGACCCCAGACCAGCTCTTCCATTTTGATTCATCTGGTTAGTTTTAGGTTTAAATAATGTTATATTGGATCTAATTAATTAGAAACAACCAGTAATAAAGCAGCAGCTGCATTTCCATTAACCGTGTAGTTAATTTGACATTTAGAAAACAAATCTGCTTAATGGAAACCCGGCAAATTAAAAGGTTTTGACACTAAGATGGTTTTTTTGGCAGTTTAAACTTGGATTATTTCACAAAGCTGCCATGGAAACACTTTCTTTGCATCACGAGTCACATGATCAACTATCTGGTGTTTCCACTGGCAGAAACCACGAAGAAGAAGCCGACAGGAAGTGACTAGACAATGATTTTAATGATTTGTAGCTTGAACAAACTTATTTATATATAATTTTAATCAATTTCTTATTTAATGGAAATAATTGCAAAATTGTGTTTTTTCGCCAAAGTTTTTCACACATTTGTGATGGAGTTTATGATGCTTGGCGTTGCTATGGAAACTGAGGTTTGTTTGCTTTCAGGCGCCGGCCCGGACGGCGTGGAGGAAATCAAGAGGCATTCGTTCTTCAGCCGGATCGACTGGAACGTCAGTCTCTGCAGAAACCAAAGACCTTCTTGTTGTTTCTGTTCCTCTGGTTGAAGTTTCTGTTTCTCTTTCGCGTAGAAACTTTTCCGCAGAGAAATTTCTCCCCCGTTCAAACCGGCCGCCGGTCGACCTGACGACACTTTCTACTTTGATCCCGAGTTCACGGCGAAAACGCCCAGAGGTACGCTCTCGCTCGCCCTCCCCTGCCCTCTGTCGTTCCCACGGTAACGGCTCGTCTCCTCAGACTCGCCAGGCGTCCCACCCAGCGCCAACGCCCATCAGCTCTTCAGAGGCTTCAGCTTCGTGGCCATAACGGAGGAAGAGCCGACGCCGATGCCCAATACCATCGTACAGGTGAGCAAACACTCTGCCGCTCCGAGGTAATCAGACCGTCTGGGTCAGACCTCAGCGGACGGAGGCAGAGATTAAAGCTGGAAGAAAAGATGAAAGTCGAGGCAAAAACACTCCGAATGTTTCTGCTTTTCTAGATGAATGCAGCAGATTTAATCATTCTGGGTAGAAAATGTTCAGCTGAACAGAACGAGCAGAACTGTGCTTCCTATATTCCTGCAGCAGCTTTCAGACACGAGGCAAAGCGCTTTAAGAGCATCAAAGGAAGAACAAAGGATAAAAGCTAAAGATGTGAAAGACAAAACAAATATTTAACAGTTCATCCGAAGCTGCTGGTAGTTAACGGGTGAGAATTTATCGTTTATTGTTAAAGTGGAGGTTCTTCTTATTGTGATAAAGTGGAAAATAAATTATAATTAATTATGTCTGAAACCTAAAAAAAATTTTTTTTTACAATTTTCTCCACAAGAGCATCTGTATATACGAATACTTTTGCAAATAATTCTGATAAAATGCGGTTACTACATGCAATTTATTGATAAGAAACATTTTTTTGTCACATACTTTGACGTTCATCATATTGTATGGCAACAGTGGGCTTTTATCGTAACGTTAATAATTTATCGTGACAAATTTTTTATCTAATAATAATTTTTATTTATTTTTTTACGTTAAATTCCAGGAACGACATTTAAAACCCACTAACCTGTCTTCATCGCTGGGTTTTATTATTTTTTTCTCCACTTATAACTTTGTGTGCAGCTTAGTGACGGAAATCACGCTTCTTTATGCGACTGGTGTCATAAGGAAGCATGTTACAAAATGTTTTTCAAGGTTATGTGTTTGTGGGGCTGTAATTGCTGTGACACACAGTTACAGTCATATAGTTACATAAAAACATTGTAATGAATAGATCCTGTGGTCACTTTTATTATTACCACAATGGTAAAACCTTAATTCCATATTGTTTACTGCTGCTGTACGCTGATGACGCTCATGTTTGTACTTGTCTACTTCAGTTGACAGTGAAAAGATGTAAAAAATTCCTGTGGGAGAAAATAAACCAAATGTTTTGATTTGGTTTTTCCAAATCCATTTGGAAATTTTTTTCTTTAATAACTTTTTTATTTAGTTTAGTTTAAACATTCATGGGAACCTTTGGTAGCGTTTCACAGATTGTCTTGGTGAAAGTGTAACATATAATCTAATCTTCTTCCCGTCTGAAACTCGGACCGATTTTGTTCGTTTGGTGTTTTTCTCGCAGCAGCTTCACAGAAGCACGTCTCAGTATTCGGACACCTACGAGATCAAAGAGGACATCGGCGTCGGCTCCTACTCCATCTGCAAGCGCTGCATCCACAAAGTCACCGGCATGGAGTACGCCGTGAAGGTAACCGATGAAAACATTCCTGCTGCCGGACGTTCAGCTGGGCTTCAGTGGAAGCTTCTTGTTTTTTCCAGTTTTCTGGTGGAACTAGATCTTATTTTTACAAATTTAACTTTAAATTAAAGAACTGATTTTGTTCCAGATCATCAACAAGGCCAAGAAGGATCCAACAGAGGAAGTGGAAATCCTGCTGAGATACGGACAGCATCCGAACATCATCACCCTGAAGGACGTGAGTCGGATGGATGGATGGGTGGATGGGTGGATGGATGGATGGATGGATGGATGGATGGATGGATGGATGGAT